GCAGGGCCCACCTACCTTGTTTGTGGCTGAGAACCCAGGGCCCAACGGGGCCCCCCACCTGCAGCAGGTGCTCAGCCAGTACTCACTGAATGAGAAGTCAGAGGCCTCCGTTCCAGCCTGTCTGCTGTATGACCTTAGACAGGTCATGTCCCTTCTCTGGGCCTCAGCTTCCCAACCACCAATGAAGGGACTAAAGGCCTTCCTGCCAGGGCTCCTCGGCTCTGTGAAAGGCTGACATCTCACACCTGGAGCCTGGGTGACCTGACCCTGGGCCCTGAGGGGGCTACACCTGAGGGGGACCAGCCTGGGTGGACTGAGGGAGAGGGTCACCAGACCTCAGTAACTTCACGTGTCGACACCATTCTTCCAGTGAGTATTTATTGAGCACTTAAGGTAGACCTGACTCTATGCCATGCACTGGAAGTAGGAAGAGACATTCAGAGATCCTACCAGGATTGACAAAGCTTTGATTTTTAGTAGGCCTTATGTGAGCTGGACTAGCACATGATTATAAATGCACACTGGCTCCTCTTCAAGAAAGATGGGCCCCTGAAACAACAAGGATCATGACCGCGCGCACACAGTGGGCACCTCCTCCGTACCAGCGCTGACCTCTGGGCCTGCATACATGCCCTCCTTGTCTTCACAGAACCCTGAGGAAGAAGTGCTATGACTGCTCCCAATGAGGAAACTGAAGCACAGAGAAGTTAAGAGGCTCATCCAAGGTCACACAGCGAGGCCTGGTAAAGCCAGGCTGGAGGAACTGGGGTCTGACTTGCAGGTTCCCAGGAAGTCAGAACAAAAGGGAGGAAGAATGGTGGACTCTGATGAGAGGAAGAAGAATTTGGGGACCATGCACATCGGGACAGGCCCCCAGGTCTCAGTCCCAACACCAGCACCCCACTTGGCAGGACCAGCTACTCCAGGCTCATCCACCCTGGGGCCAGGGCAGCAGACATCCCACAGGCCCTGCCAGGCCAAACGCAGGCTGGGGCCAGGGGGAAGGCCCCATGGGAGGGGACACTTGACGTCAGCATCCTTTCTGAGCAGGACCAGCAGGTTGGACTGGGCTCTGTCGAGTCAGCCTTCTGTAGAAGGTGCCAAGTGAATGCCACTCTGCCGGCTTTTACCCCCAGGCAAAGAGGCTGGAAGAAACGGGCACTTGGGGATGTTGAGGGTCAGTGGGCAGAGGGCAGAGGGTGAGAGGCAAGGGAAGGGTGGGGAACAGCACTAGGCGGGAGGGAGAGAGGGGGCCCAGAGAGAAGGGGCCTGCGGCCATTCATAGGCCTTTCCCTTCTGACGGGCGCTGAGCAGGGGCTGCAGCCCGGGCTGGTTTGGGAGGACACCCCCCAACCCAGCACTTCCTGGAGGCCGCCCAGGGGGATGTGGGTCTGCCAAACAGAGCTGGCACCAATTTCCACCTCCGGCTACAAGCCACAGTCGGCCACCACCTGTTGTCCTGCCCCAGCGGGGAGGCTGGAAGTCAGGTGGGTGCAGTGTGCAGGTGAACCTCCCTGTCCTCGCACCCCTAGGGGGGTCAGCAGAGAAAGGGTTCCACTCCCCTTCTCCCCACTAAAGCCACGTGTCCCGCCCCTGCCATCCCCAGCCAGCTCTGAGCTTGGGACTTGTGCGGTTACTTTGTTCTTTCCACGGTTCAAAAGGCCCTCCACAGTCCCAGCCCTCCTCAGCCCTCGCACCAAGCCCAGCCTTCATCTCCCATCCCACGTGCTCCCAGCTGGCCAGTTAAGGCGGTTAAGACTCTGGATTAGGGCTGGCTTTACATAACAACGCAGGAGCTAAAGCCATCCTCTCCTGGGATGGCTAAAAGACTTCTTTTTATCTTCACGCCTCAGATGGCCTTTTTTTTTTTTCCTCCCTTAAACAGCCCTCCAGCCCGCCAAGAGGCAATGAACTTGGCCAACAGGAAGACAAAGAGGAGATTCAGGATTCAGCTTGCTCTCCCGGGCCTCAGCTCCAGGCCAGGTGGACGCTTCTCGTCGCCAGGACTGGGCAGCACCTGCTCTCCCCAGGCCTAGCCACGCAGTGGCCAGCCGCGCACAGCCACGTCCCCCAACCTGGGGTGGGCAGCCAGGGAGCCACAAATGGTCACCGGGCCCAGGCACCAGCCAGAGCACCCCACTCTTACTGCTTTATTTACCTACTGTTTTCACTTTTTAATTCTGGCATTAGTCTTTCATTTCACGGGGGATATAGGACCATATTCTTGTAAGCGTTAAACCATTACCATGAACACAACAGTCCTCTTCGACCCCTCTGTGCAATTTTAGTCCCCTCCGCACGTGCTCGGAAGGAGCTACTGGTTTTGTCCGTCTAGGCCTGCAGCTGCACAGTGATGCCATGTGTGGTCCATACACACCCGTATGCAAGGAAACACAGTATCGTCGGGTGCCCATTTTTATATAAAAGATAACACACTGCTTATAGCATAAGGTGTCTTTCTGCAACCTGGTCTGTTTTCCATGTTGTGCTTCTGTGTAAGCATTTGTTTGACGAAAAAGGCTGAAAAGCTTGACCACCAACAACCTAGTCAAAGCCCCGCTGGGAAGCGGAAGCAGGCAAGCGGCTCCCAGCGCCCTTTCTTATAGGGGGTGGCACCAAATTGCCCAGACGCCGTAAGTGACTGGCAAGGTGCCAGGCTGCCCTGGAAGCCCAACGTGCAGCTGGTGGGCCACGGGTCCAGCCTCACCCTCTTTCCCTGACAGGAGCTGGGCCGCTCAGGCCCCTCGTATTTTTCCCACATCCATTACCCAGTGTTTGTAAGTGCTGCCCCCACAGTGGTTCGTCTTCCCTGCCAGGTGCCCATATCCTCTGTGCACCCACCAAGCCCGGCTCCATATCCCCACTCATCATGACAGAGGGCGAGGCGGCCCAGAGAGGGAGGGACCCGATCAAGACCCACAGCAAGTCACTGCCGGCTGGGAGGGGGCCCAGGTCGATGGGCGCCTAGGCCCCTGTTCCTTCTGCCTCACACCCACAGGGCTCCCGCTCTGCATGCAGACACTGAGCAGTGACCCTCCCTTTCAGGGGGAAGTGGATTCCACGGACGGGCCATTTCATGTCTGTTTGTGGGGCAAGACATCGCATTTCATTTCAGACTGAGACTCAGTGGACAGAGAAGTGCCTCATTTTTGGCAATAACCTGGGGTTCAAAAGATGATGGATAGATAGAAAGATAGAGAGATAGTTGGATAACTGGAGGATGGTTAAGTGGATTATGGGATGAGTGATGGATGAAGAATAGATGGGCAGAGGGTGGGTTACGGATGGCTGGGTGATAGTGCTGGCTGGTTGATGGATGAGTGACAGAAGAGTAGGTAGATGAATGAATGGACAACAGATGGAAAGGTGGGTGGTGATGAGTGGGTGGGTCATGGGTTAGTGTGTGGGTGGGTGACGGGAATGTGATGAGTGAGTGATAGCTAGATGAATGGAAGCTAGAGGCGTGGGCAGGTGGGTGGTTGAATGGATAGTGAATGGCTGATAGATGGACTAGGTGGATATATGGATAAATAAGGGAATGAACTTGCTAATAAGTTACCATGTGGATGAGCAAATGAATAGAGAAATGGAGTGAACATTGAAGCCCAGGTAATCAATGTTTCGGGTCACCTCAGTCCCCAGGGCCTACATCCTGCAGACCTTCACCTTCACCTGACTCCCCAGATCTTCTCTCGGCACCAAGTCCTGGCATCTCTCCACAGAGCCAAGGATAACAGCCGAGACTTGGGGGAGCCCCTGAGTGTAGTCACCAGATTGCAGGCAAACACACTCGAGGGGAACACCCACAGCCTGGACGAAACTGTCTGTCCGTGAGACTCCTCCCCGTTGACTGAGGACCTGCTCGCATGTGAGCAAAGTTTGATCGATACCTGGGTCCGCAGCCTGCCTCTAACTCCTGGGCAACTGAGTGACTCTTAAAACAGTGCTTCTCAAAGTGCAGAGTGCATACAAGTCACCTGGGAGCCTACTAAAATGCAGACTGGACTCAGTGGGCCTGGGCTGGAGCCTGACATTCTACAGTTATAGCAGCTCTCAGGCCAGATGTGGCCACAGTCCTGAAGTCTGGCCCAGGTTCCCTGGAGAACCTCTTGGCACCATCTGCTCGCCTCTTAAGGTCCCACAGGACCCCCAAGGCCTAGGTGCCTCCCAGAGACTCCTGGGCCCCCATCTCTCCTGCCAGCTAGCTGCCTGCTACCCGCCCCCACCCCCACCCCCACCCCAGCAATGGGTCTCACTGCCCTAAGGCTACCCCAGTTCAGCAATTCTCTCCTCAGAGTCTGAGTAGACAATGGAAATGCCATCCCACTTAGCAAACACTTTCAGGTGCCATCTGTTCCTTGCACCATCTTGGAGGGTCACCCAGGGAAAGGGCCCTCCTTGCGGCTTGCCCCAAGTCAAGTTAGCACGCCAGTGGCGGCTGACCCTCTCCTCTAGCGTCCCAATTCTTTCCACAACACGGTGCTTCCCTTTGAAGAAAGAAACAGAGGAGAGAGGGAGGGGCTGGTGTGTGCGCGTGTGTGCATGTGCGTGTGCGTGTGTGTGTGTGTGCACGTGTGTGCGTGTGCACTCACTTGTGCTCAGGGGAGTGACATGCATGGGGAAATGGGGAAACATTGTAGCTACTTTAAGTAGTGCTTCTATATGTCTAACCCCATTTGAGGGGCCCATGAGTAGCCGCTATGATCACCTCCCAACAGAGAAGCTGACGTAAAACAACCTGTCCAGGGTCCCACAGCGAACCTAGAGCAGGGCCAGGACGTGAACCAGGTAGTCTGGCTCCACTTGGACATGGACCTGCGAAGCCACATTTCCCTCTTACTCCTCACCCCTACACACCCCACACACCCCCACCAACAGGCAGAGTCCTGTCCTCTGCCTGGTCTGCAAATTTTCTGCAGGGTACTCAGGACACGTGGTAGACCAGATGGCCCCTTCCCCAGCTCACTGGCCCCTGGAAAGAGTACAGTGCATTTCAGTACCTTCCAGGCGAAAGTCTTCCTCTTCCTCCTCGCTGAGTGTTTCTCTGAAAACTTCGCCCACAAGCTCCTAAAGGAAGACAAAGGAGGGACACTGAGGCAGTATCGGGGTTAGGTAGGAACATGGCATTGAGACAGTAAAGGGGGTGTCAGGGACATGTGCTGGCTGGTTGCCAGGATGCAGGGACCCTGCTCTGATTCTTCCCATGGGAATTTAGGTCAACTGACGTAAGTCCTGTCACACTTGAAGAGTTCATCACCGCGTGGCTTTTCAGGAAGTCAATTTTCTCAGCCTACAGCCCACCGTGAAACACGACACAGAACCACACTCCTCCCCAGGAAGGGCATCCCACTCTCCACCCAGAAGACAAAGACAAGGTCAGAAAATGGTCCTCAACTATCCCGCTGAGCCAACTTGATTGGCTGGGGACCAACAAGTCCCGCCTATGGGATCCAAGAAGAGATATCAGTTTGTACGTTTCCTCCAACAGAGGGTCCAGGCGGCTGGTCCTGGTAGGTTCATAAAGACGGTCTGGTGTGCTCTAGGATGGGCTCCTACCGCCCTTAACAGAAACCCCAACTCTTCAGCACCTCGTTCAGAAACCACCGTGCTCTGGCTTCAGTCACACCTCTCGCATCTCTCTGCCACACACGCTCTCCGATACCCAGCCTGATCCCTGCACGTGCCTTGCCCGGTCCCCATGCGTGAGTTAAAGGTGCCTGCTACCTCATCCCATATGACAGAGCGTTCCCAGTCAGCCTGGGCAGGCTGCCCGTCGGGGGTCGTCAGGTTGGCCAGGGGAGTTTGGTTGGCCCACAGGCGGGGACATTTCTGGGATGGCAACAAAGGTCCCATCTATCTGACCCCACCCACCCCAGCAGGACAACTCTAGACAAGGGGCTAGACTAGCGCTTGTCAGACTGTTCTGCATTTATTGGTATCCTGCCAGGAAGAGTTCTGTGATTAAAAAAGGCTGTTTTGAACAAAGTTAAACAAGGTCCCCTTACTGCAGGACTTGCTATGGCAACGGGCGCTGTGAATACCCAAATAATGCAGTAGCTTATGCTGCAATCCTTAAACCTATTTATGCCACAGAGTTTTATTTCTCAAAAGTATGACGTGGGGTTCGCGTTCCAAGGAACCCACTTTGGGAAATGCTCCTCTCTGACGGAGGGATGAGGTTTTGGGGGGTTACACAGCCTATCTCTCTCGATGCCCACAATTACGCCGCGGTAGCACTTCTCAAACCACTAAATGACAAGCGATAAGAAAGCCCAAACTCAGCAGCTGTCACCAACTTCTTTTTGAAAAAAAGTGAGAAGGAAACGAAAAAGTACCCTCTCCTTTAAAAATTAGAAAGAGAAAAAACCCCAAAAAACCCTGCACCTCAGATGCTTAAAAGGAAAACAGTGTTCATCTTAAAAAAATAATAATAAAATAAAATTTAAATTTAATGCTTTATATAGCTGACCTTGTCAACTGGACACGGCTGGAGGTAAGTCTTCTGTTTTGTTTTGGCTTTTTGTTTTTAAGATAAACAGCTAACATTTTAGGGATTAGGGTTGGTATTCTCGGGTCTCTTTCTTCTTTCAAATCTTTCAAATCGTTCTGGGGCACGGCACACTCTTTCTTACAGGATGTTGAAAGGTGGTCATTCAGGCTCCTGGTGTCCCATTGAATTCAAAACCAGGCTTTTTTATTCCTCCAGTCAGGTTGGCTTCTCTCTCCTCCTCCGCCAATTATTATAATCACCGAACATTTCCTGGGCTTGTAAACTGGCTGTTTGTGTTAACAAAGCCAAAGTTGACAAGGGAGCCGGGAGACGGTGACAGGAAAGGGATGCACTCAGGTGGCATCGTTAGATGGCTGGGACGCCCCAGCAGCCAATTAAAGCCGATCTTTCATGCCAGAGTAAGACGGATGTCGCCTCCACTGAAAAGCTGGCAGGTAGCACTTCCTCACAGGAGCAGGGAACTGTCTTCAAGGGAGCCGCAGACCTCTACATGCTGAGGTCCTCCGGGGAGCGGGGGGGCAGGGGGGGCCTCAGCCATCACCTTGACCACTCCCCAGCAAGGCCGACAGGACCTGCGAGACAAAGATGCTGGAGCACTCGTCTCTTTTTATGGGCACACTTGGAGGAGTTTAAAGACTCCAAATGTCAGCATCAACAAAGCAGCCATCTGGGACCCTACAACAATGCCTCACAGAGTGCATAACGCACCTGCAGTCATCACTCTGACGACGGCTTCAATGCTCTCTGAGAAGAACTGGCTGCTGGGAAGACCAAGTCCTCTGACATGTTAAAGCTACGTGCCTGTAGATTAAAGCAGAGTTCTGGCACATTGTGGCACGTTCTGGGGTTGGCCTCTTTCTGCCACACTGTACCCTGCTCCGTATAACACTTTGAAAGCTCCTGGGCACCACGGTCTGCTGACACACTGTGCTGGATGACCGCAGAAATTCATTTCATCCACTGAGCCAGGCAGGCAGGGCCTGTGAAGTGCAGTGCCTGAGGTCGGCGAGCTTTGAATCGCTAGGCCAGAGGCAACATGGGATGTTGAGCCAGACACAGGGTCCCGGCCTGGCTCCGTCGCCTCCCTCAGCCTTGGACCTGGGGCCAGCCACTGCCTTCTTGGAACCTCAGTCTGCTTACCTGTGAAATGGGCACAGTGGTAAACCACCACCACAATAATATGACAGCTGACACTGTGCAATTCTTACGTGCCAGACACCGTGCTAGGCATGTATATATATACACATATATACACACACACATATATATACATATATATACATATACATATATACATATACACACACATACATATATATATGTATATATATACACATATATATATATACATATATATATATATATAAAACATCCTTTAACCATCACTACAGCTCTGCTCTTTCCATCTCTCAAGGAAAAAATGCTCATAAAAATGATTTGCAAATGGTAAATTGAGAGGTTTCTACAAAGAAAGTGCCCCCAACCCTCAAGGGCCATATCAGACAGGAAAACAATGCTAACGACAGCCACTCACATTACTTACCAAGTGTTTAGATATATGAGGCCCTGGCCTGCGGGCCCCACACAGGAACCGCCGGAGAACAGGGCTCTCACTAGCCCTGTGTTTAGATGAGGAAGAGGCCAGGGGACCAGCTGTGGATCACCAGCCAGTGAGGGGCAGAGCCAAGACTCAAGTCAGCGCCACCCGAGCTTATATAGTGGGTCAGGGCTTCTGTGGGCATGGGGACAGAGGTAGCCGAGTGCTGGCACTTGGCAGGGACCAAGGATCACATTTAAAGAATTTCAAGGAAACCAGCCTGGCCAGCAACTGCAGTGGGTCCGTGGCCACGTACTCCCATTCGTCCAGTGGGTCTGAAAAGGCCCCCTCTAGGTTTAGGACTTGGCTGAGCACTGGATGGGAGCCCTGCATGCAAGGTCCTGGGCCAGGCACTCGGACCATCCTGCGGGAAGGCACTGGGGCCCCTGACAGCCACGAGCCCCACTGGGAGCCCCAGGACAGAGGGTACAGGGCCTGGAACGCGAGTTAGTCAGACCACCATTCAAATCCTGGCTCTGACTCACACAAGCTGTGACATCTCTGCCGTGTCCATAGGGAGGACAGCTCTGACAATGCCTCGGGGTGGGGTGAGGATTAAGCAAGCTGCTGAACATACAGTGCTTAGCATCGTGCCTGACACCACGATTGGGGCTCGAGAGATCAGTCGTTGTATTTATGACTTCTACTGTCATGGTCAGAGGGCTATCAGAACATTGCCGGGAGAAGCTGAAAGGCTCACCAGACCCAAGGTGCCCCACAGACACCTGGAGACAGACATGCACCCATCCTGCCCGGCCTGCTGCTTTTAGCGCTTTGCACTTAGTCCTCATGAGGGAGTACCATTACTAACCTTACTTTACAGATGAGAAAACTGAGGCACAGAGAGGTTAATGATTTACCCAAGGTCACACAGCTAGATAGTGTCACAGTCAGGACTGAAGGCAGGCCCTGTGAGACGTCCAGGTGTGCGGGGCTTGGGTGCAGTGGCCTCCCATCACTGCTTCCTTTGTCTCCTCGGCCATCACTTTGCCCCCGTCCCAGGTCCCCGCTCCCCTGGCCTTGGGAACAGTCAGCCGCAGCCTCTGGTCCAAGCTCTGATCAAAGGCATGCTGGATGCACAGCCCTGTCCCACCCAGCCTGGTGCCAGCTGTCCCCTGCCCAGTGGCCGGGCTTGGTGGCCTCTCAAGCCACAGGGCCCGGACTTGCCTTTCTCCTGCCCCCACGGGGCCCCAGGAGGAGAGGCCAGCACCAGCCCTGAACCCAGAATCACAGGCACAATGCCTTATAAGGCCTCCGGGGACGGGAAATCACATCAAAGCAGGGCCTTGGGGAGCAGGCTGGAGTTCGGTTGGGGTTTTTCCTCTTTGTCTTTGAGGCTTCATACTCCTGAGCTTAATATCTTCCCCCATCGCCTGCCCCACCAGTTCTGTCAATCTTTCTGTGCTCTAAGAACTAACAGATGTTGGTGCCACAGGTTTCAAAGGAAACTCCTGATGCCCACAGAACACAACACAACTTATAGCTTCCAGGAACGCGCAGGGCTGGCAGGTCAGGGGACAGAAGGGTGGGAGGCAGGACCCGGCCACCCTGTAACGCTTCCACTCAAGCCGTCTGCCCCGGAGCTGCCCCAGGAAATCCCTGGCAAGCTCTCTCCTCCCAGCACACAGCACAGCAGCCTGGCCGGCACCCCAGGGAAGCGGCACCGCTGTGGGCAGGCCTCCGTGAGAGCGTGCGCCCACTGTCCAGGGCGGGGGTGCTCCATTTGCAGAGCCCGCGGGACCTGGGGGTCAGGGCGCCGGCCTGCTTGGCGGCTGACGGGCAGCAGACACCTGGCTTAACCCCGCTGGCCTCCATTTTGTTCTTCTGTAAGATGGAGATTTAGGTGTCAGAGAGGAGTCAGTGAGGAAATGTGGACAAAATCCCTAGGGCGGTGTCTGACGCGAAGGTGGGGAGCACTAACGAAGCTTCTGCCCTCCTGTCACTCCGTACTTCCCCCAT